ACAACTTTTTGAACTCTCCTCTGAGGTATCACGCCGCATTTGAAGGCGTTTTCAAAAGAGCCAAGTTCCGATACCCGGATTATCGTTTTGCAAAGTTCTTATTATTATGTTTTTTTCCTACCATTTGTTTTTTTTTCAATCCTCCTATAAAAACTACTCATTTGCTGAATACACTTCTGGCTGGAACGCATTTTAGCTATGCATTCACGACTACTAAAATGTCAAAGGAAATCGACAAGACTAGCGTGTATGAAGGCTATTTCAATTGTAATCTGCCGTCGCATTTCTAAGGCGCAATGATACAACTATTTGAACTCCCCGGAATGCGTGAGGTATCACGCCGCCTTTGAAGGCGTTTTCAAAACAGGCAAGTTTTGATATCAGATTTGTAGTTTCGCAAGAAATTTGAGCACAAAATCAATAGAATGACTGATTTTACGAGCTAATGCAACTCAATTAATTTGTGTTTTATTTGAGCTTTTCAAAAGTTGTTTCCCCATTCCTTTTCGAGTTGTGTATTCTAGTTTCTACCTGTGTACATGAAAAACATAAATAAGTACCTAACGTCAAAACCTGAGAATCTTTTCATTGAACCGTGCGAAACTGAAATTTTCAGGTGAGAGCAACACGAAGCTGTAGAAGTGTGAAATTTTTTTTATGTTCAGAGCAGAAATTCAAAATCTTGTAAGTGTTATCAGGTATTGCTATACCTAATGTTCTAGGTTTCTAATAGACCAAATTTAGAGAAAAGTTCCTCATGAAGACGGGGCATTCATGCATATTTTAGCAATAACCTGATGACGCTCGCCAGGTTTTGAATTTCTGCTCGTCATGTATCGATGGCTAAATGCGAAAATGATGTATCTCAATTTAAGCGTTTTAAAAACCTCCGAGTATATGTTTTATTCTCTGCAAGGATTACTCACCAAAATGGTTCATTGAAGTCTTCTATGATTTACTTAGAATACATGATTATAAGTATGTTGGTTGATATTCACTCAAAAAATAAAACATGATCGGAGAGTTTTCGTCGCAACATGAAAAACGCATTTTTCACTTTTCGTCGCAAACTGGAAAACGCATTTTTCGAGTTCAGCTATGAAGATGTGACCGTCAAAGGGGCCCCAAGTAGCACAGATTGCAATAGGTACGTAGTAATTACATAATGTACATATTGCTATTCAACCGAGTGTTGTGTATGTTGCCTAGCTCCTATTTGAGGGGGCCCCATTTACTGAAACTTATTGCAATATGTTCTCACGAGCGCGAAACAAATCTGCCGAGGGTCGGCTAGTTACTTTTGTGATTCATTATTGTTTAATGTTTTTCTTATCGCATCGAAACAGCTTCTAATCGATGAGTACCCTCTCTAATTCAATTTATTTATTTAGTTGCAATTTTAAGCACCATATAACGGATAGAATTTTTAAAATGTACACATTCCACTTTGCCGGCGGCTCCATTATTTTCGACGGGTGCGAAAACAATTTGCGAAGGACCGGTTTTTACTGGCGTGATTTTTTATCGGTTATGTTAGTGTTTCTTGCATAGAAACAGTTTCTGAGAGATAGGCACCTGGCACCCTCTCTAGTTCCAATTTCAACCAGCGGAGTTGCCACAGGACGAACAGAATTTTTGAAATGGCCAAATTCCACTTTGCCCGCCCGTTCCACGTTGCCCGTCTCTCCCCTAATTGTTGCCTTCGGCACTAAAAATGCAGAAAAAATTGAAGATAAGAAAAATATAGTAAATTATAAATGAATAAATAAAAAGACTTTGCCATTCTCATGGCGAATTTTGAAATACCGGTTTAAGTACTTGTCTTAGTCATCCAGATCGCTAGACGTTCTATCCATATTTAACGAATAGAATTATAACGCCTGGCGCCTTGGCACAACTATTCGGGCTCTGTGGATGCCTGTGTTGCATACGCCCGGATGTGCAGGCGTTTTGACTTCAGACACTAACCAAATCGGCGACTCACTAGCGGCAGCGGCACACAGTGGATCGAGTCAAGCAGAGAGGCACGATATTAAATTTTTGACTAAAACTTCAAATTTTGATTTTGTCACATTTTAAATTTCAAGGGGTGCTTCAACGAGAAAATTTAACGAGGAAACCAATGGAACCACTTTTAGAACCTCAAAGTTTTGTGAAAACAGAGTTATGAGCTTTTAAAGTTTCCAAATTTTGTCTAGCCTCTTCCATTGAATCGATCCGCTGTGCGGCGCCCCCTAGGGCGAGTCAATGAGAGGAGTCATACAAAATAAGGAAATATTAAAGGCTCTCATCGATGTTAATACGGAGCGCAGAGGGTTCATAAGTGGTTTTATTGACTCTCTCGTAAAATTGTCTTTAATAAACATCTCATACAATTTATAAAATGAGGAAATTAATATTGAAAGAAGTTTTAGTCGAAAATTTCGAATGCAACCTCTCTGAAAGGCTCCTTTCACGGTGCGACGCGGCGGGCTTTACTGCGAGGATCTGAAATGACATCTCAAAGACGTCTCTCACATCCCATCTCGGGCCCTGATACCAGTTTTAAGGTCCAGGCCCCATGACTGCCACCAACCCCTCCACACCACCAGAAAAATGATTTTTAATATTAAGAAAATTAATAAGGGTAGAATAAAGATACGGAAAATAAATGCTCATTTCATTCGAGGAGAGAAGTTTATTCGCATTCAAACAATGAATTGATACAGTAGCGGACGTCTGAGTTCTGACCCAGGTGACCTGGGCCAGGTCAAAGGGACAAGCTGTGAGACACCCTTACTGCCGTGCTAAGGAAAAACGCCGATGAACATTCGAGAGTTGCCAAATTTCCTTCGACTAAATTTTTATTTTTGAGGAAAGCCATGGATGCTTGCCCTTGAAATTTTCAGGGACTTTATTGAAATTGTAAGCAAAATCATCAGAAAACTTGGAAGAAAAATATTTACAAATTTTCCCGAAAATTCGTAATTTACTAAAGGAACTTTGGCAGCGCCTGGAGGCTCATACGACGTTTTTCCTTAGCACTGCAGCTTACCTCAGCTACTCGGCCGCCAATCAGTGCAACCATTTTAAGCTCCTTCATCTCGTCGAGTATGCAATTTGATTTGCGAGGGGGTTGAAATATTCGCTCCAAGTCCAAATGAACTTCCACGGCCACCGACCTTCTCGGGCAAGGAGGAGCAATTGCACGTCTTTAAACTGATGCGGGACTCCTGATTTTATTACCATGTGTTTACAATAGGAACAAACTCAGATTTCATCGATGACACTGCTCCCATTTTCGCGCACTTGTTGTGATTGCGCCTGGTGCAGCCACTCCTGATGCTGCCGTGGTAAGGAAGAACACCGCATGAACCTTCAGGCGTTGCCAAATTTCCCCTAATAAAACAAGGCTTTCCTGGTAAACTAAGGAATAATATCCTTCCAACTTTTTAGATAATTTTGTTCGCAATGTCATCTAAAGTTCCTAAAAATTTCAAGGAAAAACATTCATAACATTCCTCAAAAATAAACATTTTATCGGAGGAAATTTGGCAACTCTCGAATGTTCATACGGCGTTCTTCCTTAGCACAGCAGCATGCGCCACTGAGGCCTTGTCCACACGAGCGCGGTTCGCGGAACTCATTGTCAGTTCGAGGAACTTGTTCCCGGAACAAGTTTCTTGCTGAGCTGAAACTTATTCCTCCAAAACCTGGAATTTCCCCCGTGCTCCGAGCTTCTAAATATGTTTCTTTTGATGTGAATTTGCTTGTTTTTGTTTTTCACGTCCTTTACATATGATCTTGACATTTATTTTCGTTACTTTGGCGGTCATAATAATCTATTATTTTGCAATAATTGTATAGTTTTATTGAAGTTCCGGTTCCAGTTCGGACGAACCCGTGTGGACAGCATGCCTCGTTTCAAGGAATAAGTTCCGGGAACTGACCAAGTTCGAGGAATAAGTTCCGCGAACTGCGCTCGTGTGGACAAGGCCTTCAGTCCGGTCGTGCCTATGTGAAAAATGCACGTTTTCCCCTCTTCTTCCCCTCCCCCGTTCTTTGATAGCCGTTGTAGTTCTTTCCAAAAAAACGTCATACTGGATTTAAAAAAAAAAGTGCCCGCTATTGTAGAAAAAAAGAGAGGGGGAGAAAGAAAGACGCATAACTCTTTCTGAGGATACCTCAGAAAATCCCAGAAAACCAATTTCCGTTGTAGTTCTTTCCAAAAAAACGTCATACTGGATTTTTAAAAAAAAAAAGTGCCCGCTATTGTAGAAAAAAAGAGAGGGGGAGAAAGAAAGACGCATAACTCTCTCTGAGGATACCTCAGAAAATCCCAGAAAACCAATTTCAGAGCAAATAATGATGCTTCAAACAGAAGGAACATTGGTAAGTTTGAAATTAGCAAGGATTTTCCGCTTCAGGAAAAAGGAACACCTTATGCAATTTGATCTCACGAGTGCGATACTCGCGTAAGAGATATGCTTACTTACCGGAGAGCAAAGAAGTCGAGGCTTAAATGGACTGCATTTTGCAATTTGGAACTATAAATTCTGGCCCGGTTTAAAAACTACGTATGTGCCATTGGTTTCCCTGTGCACGTAAGTGTTTTTTCAAATGAGCTAGAATTTATAGCTCCAAATTGCAAAATGCAGTCCAAATCATATTTCGACGATGAAAGTCGGCAATCACATAACTCGGTTTGCGACGTCGCAGACTTCCAATCATACATTATTTTTCAAACGGAAAACTACTCAACAGCAATTCTGTAAAACTGCCGTAGTTTTTCTTCTCTGTGCGAAGAAAATTCTGCATAATCTTCAAGGAATGATGTCAATTTGTTCTCCTCCAAAAAAATAACATAGAGGCGGAAATTTTCAGACACCGCAAACGAGTTATGTGATTGCCGACTTACACCGTCGATTTACTATTTTTTAATGAGCTATGAGATAAATGAAAGTGTTATCATTTAATTGCGTCATGTTGTTTACCGTGCTTCATCCCCTGTTGTCATGGTTACCTCACCGCTCCCTGGACCGACAACCAACCAATCACAGCCAATGCCCAAATCAATAAAGATAACAGGGATAACCTAACCCTGTTCAAAGATGTCAAGTGTGCTGAAGTGGATGTCAGTGGCTTGTGAGATTTTGTTGATGGGATGATCTAGTTTAGCAAGTAGTGTTTTTAGTCATTCTGATGCCTTTTTTAACCAAGTTTAAATTTATCTGAACATACCACCCGCTTAATGGCTCATTTTCCCCCTCCTAACAACGTGACAGCATTCGGTCATGAAGTTTTCTCAGTGAATGGTTTGTTTATTTTTCAAAGCACCTGTATTTAATCTGGGTCAGCGGTGTATTTATTAAAGTATTCTTTGATTTTTTGATATCGTATTTGATAAAATGCATACCGGGTCCGGGAACACGAACTCCTACAGATGCTCTGATGAACCAGAGCAAGAAAGATCTTCAACTCCGGGCGAAGCCTTGCAAATACGTAACCCATTATTGTGTTCTATTTGCAATGACTACTACACAGAACCTTGCATCTTGGATTGTTATCACTCATACTGTGCCAGGTGTCTTCGAGGAAGAATAATCGACAATAAGATCAGCTGTCCAATTTGTGGGTAAGTAAACCTGTAATAAGTTAGTTAGTCATGAAGAATCATATGTGATAAAAAATCTGAGATTTCTTCCACATCTCTCATTACATGAGCTTGTTTCCAAAGACTATCCCAGAGATTAAGTGAAATAGCATAGCAAACTATTTATCAACAGCAGTGTTGTTGTCAAATTTCCTTCACAGACTGGATCGCTAGTGCTGAGTTTATACTCATGTTTAAACATGATAATTTTAAGTATGCACAATCATACAATGTAGGTGGAAAGAGTTCATTTTCACCTTAAAAATGTCAACACATCAAATATTTCTTGTTGCCATCTACCACTCTATTTATATTATACAAGAATGGGCAAAAGAAAGCTTGATACGCCATAACTTTTTCAATTTTTGAGTTTACATGTTCCGGTTTGGATTGTTGCTCTAATCATCAAAGGATAATTTTTTTAGGGAGGGGGGGAGTCATGACCCCCTGACCCCCCAGAAAAAATAAGGGAGAAGGGCATGCTCCCATAAAAATCAATAATTTCAAAAGAGGATTTCTCTCTTGTGACTCGCGTATCGAGCGTTTCTTTTGCCCATCCGGTTATGATATCATACTTTACTCCTCAGCAAGGCGCTTTAGGTTTTTACTCCAGTCATGAGAGACAAATCACTAAAAGATCAGCAGGCTGATTATTGAAATTTAAACCAGCCCGATAAGACATTGAATTGCGATATATTGCACGGTTAAGATAGGGCTATGTCTTGTCGTAAGCGGCGACATAGAGTCGATGACATTTCAATAATCGCCCCGCAGGATCAATATGAATGAATTAAGCTTCACAAGACAAACATTAAAATAAAAGCAATGCTCCTCATCGAAGGACAAGCCTTCATTTGACCAAGCATTTGAGTTAAAATAAGTCCCAGTTAACAGACTTCTTTACCAATGAACAAAACTTTCTTTTTAGGCAATCAACAGCTCTTAAGGATCATGCCATTTTACCACCTCATGATATTCTGATGAGAAATTTGGTAGAGTTGGCAAACTCTGAAAACCCACCTTGTGCCAATTGTGACAAGCGTGATAAGACATCTATGTACTTCTGCATCACTTGTGGTAAGTATGTATTTATTTCCCTAATTCCCTCATTGAGCAGTCTTTATATACTTATTAATTCTGAAACATTTTGATCAAAGGCTGCAATTTTTTTTAAAAAGACCCTACCCCTACTCCAATAATTATCCTTGTAGCTGTATTAAATATTTTTCCATTCAACAAATAAGTACGACGAACTGGAATTGGATAAGCTGGTTTGTATTTATTTTAGTATCATAAATCTGATATTCTTTATGCTACCACGAGTAATTCTATACCATCATACTATTGCGCACTTGGACCACGTTTAGCAGAGAGGAACCAAGTCACATCGCCTAATGCCAACTTTAACTGGACACTTTAACTTGTTACAAGAGAACGTTAGTTTGAATTTCTTCAAAAAGTGAAAAGGAATTTGCCTCGAACCTACTAAGCAGGAAATTCAATAAAATTTGCACAAAAATCTGCATAGTCGTATTCATGTGAAAAATTAAATATCCCAATTAAATTTAGCAATAGCTGATGCAGCTTGGTTCCTTTCTGCTTACCACGGTCCACTTATATCAAAAAATCTGTATCTTTTCTCATGGTCTTTTTATAAAGTTTGTTCTTCATCAGTTTATCAGTCTTAAAATTGTCTCATTCATACATGCCCTACCATTGAAAGTGCAACTTAATTATTTATTTTCAATCGCATCATTTAGTTTAATTTTGCTTCCTATTTGTTTTAGTTCAATTCTTTTTGAGCAAAGAGGTCCAATCAAGATCAATTAAAGCAAAGTATGTTTTTGTTTTTTGGTTTGTATTTTTTTTTATTTTTAATTTCCTTCTATTCATTATTCTTAATTTTAAGGAGATGAATTTTTATTTTTAATCATTCTTAAGATTTTCAATTTTTTTCTTCCCTTTTCTTAAATGGCACCACACTGTCACGCTAAGGAAAAACGTTGTATAATCATTCGAGAGTTGCCGAATTTCCTGTAGTAAAAGTGAATTTATGCAGAGGGTTATGAATATTTTCTCTTGAAATTTTCTAATAATTAAGATCTGTTTGCAAATAAAATTTGAAGAAAATTATTTGCAGATATCCCTGAAAATCCATTTTTCATTAAAGAAATTTGGTAACGTCTAAAGGCTTTTATAGTGCACTGCTTTCAGCACGGTGAAAAGTTCTTATGAGCTTTGGCCTTCTAAGTTCTGGCTACTTTATCTTATCTTTGCTCTTCTTTTACTATCTTTGCACTTTCATCGTTTTTAAGCCTCTTCCCACACTTTTGACTCATCTTAATCATGATCTTCTCCATGGCACTGAAACTTTATTTCTTTCTTACATGTTATGATAGTAATATCATCAAAAAAATGTACAATTTATCATTCATTATTATCTCACTTCTAGTTTATTTTCTTCAAATTAATTTGCAGTTGCATTGAACGTATTATTTTGTTCTTCAAAGGGCCAACGAAATAGTGGTTTAAACTTCTGGAAATACTGTGTTTCATGTTGGTACCACTCCTATTCAAGGGACCTGTCTGTAACACATCTTTATTTGATCTCCTGAACTAATGTAGTAGCATTAAGTATCATCCTTCAAAACTTTCCTTTAATATTTTTTTAACTTTTATTTTACTCTTGCTTTCTCATTTAAAAGATTGATTCTATTAATGTATGTTATCTTTCTCTTATTTGTAGGTCAGGCGCTTTGCACACGATGTCGAGAAAATACCCACAGAGCAAAAATGTTCTCTGCTCACGAAATTCTGCACATGTCTCAATATCCAAGGGATAATTTCAAGCGGGTCAGTTAGAATAAGTAATCTTTCTTTATTCTTGTCCCCTGATTACTTAATTGCTAAGAGAAATATCTGAAGTTTTTATTTTAGCGCAATTGGATTTGATTTTGCAGTAAGGAAATACTTTTTCAGGCTCATCCATCACCTATCTGTATAGGGGAACTTGCGGCACATGTGTGGTTTCCAAAATGAACTAGAATCAGTAGTTCCTTATTGCAAAACGCAGTCCTATTTATCTAATTAAATCTGAAACTAAAGCCCTTGTAATCTATTGTGCTCAATTCATGTAAATAATGTTTCTCTCTCCCTCTCTCTCAGCTCTAAAGATAACTGACCTGTTTCTTTGTTTCTGGAATTTCAAGTTTCAAAATGAGTCGTTGAAATTTTTTCATTTCTCTTGTGAAAGGAAACTGAGCTGTTCAAAAATGAAATTTTCCTACTTTTCAAACCAAATCTGTCAGCGTATTGATGATAAATCACAGAAATTTGCATGTCATTTGCAGCATTGCAGACTTCCTGTTGTACTTTATTTTCTACATGGAATATTCTGAACCATAATCTTTTCAAAACTCAGGTGTTTTTTTTCTCATTATGAAGAATATTCGTGTGAAAATTTCAAGCCATGATGCTGGTTTGGTCTCTTTCTAGAAAATTAAATAAAAGCGGAGATTTTAAAATGCAGCAACCTACAAACATATTTTGCAATTTTGCCATCGGTATAACTGTCTTGTCAGTCTCGAGTGCTACTGCATAACGTTTATGCAATAATGTCAAGTTCTCTACCCATTTGTGCCGTTTTTTCTTCTTTATTTTAAATGTTAAGTGTTCATTTTATGCCCTGTTTCTTTATAGTGCTCTAAACATGGGGAACAGTTCGTAATGTTTTCTACAACCCAGCGAAATATGATGTGCATCACTTGTTTTCGGGAAACACCTCAAGAGTCTCGACAGAACTGTGTTGACATTGACACTGCATATGCGCAATACAGCAAGAAGTTGGATAGGACTGTCACAGTATGTTTCTTGCCTTATATTCCTCCTGATAAATAAGACATTTTAATTATTAAAAACAAAATTAATCTTGAAAAAAATACTATATGTACTAACTATATTCACACTACTAATACTGAGATATTAAAACATTTTACTTGAATTCAAAGGCCTCCAGAGAAAGACAAGAGGGAAAACGAGAGAATTGCACTCATCAAAGTTTTTCTTTGTTCCATTAGTTTGATTTTATCAAGAACCAATCATTTTATCTTGAAGTATCCCCAAAATACCATGCAAAAATCTTTTAGACCATTTTCTCACCATTCATTTAAAAATGTGAATCTCAAAATTTCTTACTCTCCATTTTTCTGAAGTCCTATGTAAGTTTTCTTTGAAATCATGAAATTGGTGTTATGTTTATTAATATGTTTCTTTCATAATTTTAGTCAGTTTGTGAGGCTCAAAGCTCTGTCAGGGAAGGAATACACACCTGCAGAAATTTATTAGAGGAACTTCGTCAAAATACTGATTCAGAGAAAATGACAATTCATTCGTTCTGTCAAGGAATGCAAGAATCCATCATGAAAACACAAACATCAATGAATCTTGAAGTTCAAAGGTAAAAAGGCTTGAAATTTTTAAGTATTTAATGCTTATTGTTTTGAATGCAAGAAAAGAGTAACTAAATTATTAAAGTTGTTAGATGGAGTGCTTTATATGAACTTTTTGTTACTTAATCTATAGGACCTCAACTTCTTCTTCACCTTTTTTGGAAAATCAAATACTTTTCCAAAGGCCACTAGATGGCGCAAGTTTACTTGCCGCCAGCGTCCGCTTGCCCAAGTCTCGGGCTGGTTTTCACGACCTCTCGAGCTTGGTAGCAGGAAATTCAGGAGGCTGCACTGCACTGATGATTGGCCCAACAAGGCCGAAACTCGTCTGCAGTTGCCTTCCTAAATGGACGTAACTAGTGTTGCACCAAACAGCATATCTCTTTGAGGGAAACCAGTACTCCAAAGGAGTTTTTCCCTCTGTAGTGAGAATTTTCAGCTTAATGCTGAGTTTTTAAAGCTGAGTGCTGAGTTAGCGGAAAAAATTCCAACATACTTTTCCAAAACTCTTATCATTGGTCATGAAACGGGTTGTCATCTTTTATTTCATTCCATGAGATATTTTCTTTGAGATCAGCTTAGAAATGTACAGCAGTGTAACATTGCCAACTTTTCTCAGAGCTCAGGGTAGGAAAATGAGGAACACTTTACCTCTGATCAAGATTTAAATCTATTTTTTTCTCTGTAGTTCAGAAGCTTGAAATTACGACCCGAATAGCCTATTTTACAATGACTAAAGAATATTTCTCCACTTAGAATTTTAAAGTATTATTTTCCTGAACCATCAGACATTCCCACTTAAAGACACTATTAATCTAATAACCATCGCCACTTCCGACACGTTTCATAAATTTTCTTTGATTTTTCCTTTTTCAATTGTACTTGATATTCCAATCATACTCATAACTGTTTGGTCTTCCAGGTACTTTTTGTCCCAACATCTTTTTCTTGTCATAGCAGCAACCACTGACAGATATTTAGAAATTTTCCCTTAGTTTGCATAATGCAGATATGTAAAAAGAAAAATAACGCACCTCCAGAGAGAAAAATTTCTGTAATTTAATGAATATTACATATCTTTTTCTCCTGAAACAAGACAAAGTTAAGGAACACTTTTTTGAAAAGAAAAATTCTCTAATGCTAATTGATGAATATCATTGTTTTACCGTCAGACAATATGAAAGCAAGGAACGGATTTTTCGCAATCAGCTTGTGACCTTAAGCTCAATACTGCCAGTGCTTCAACTGCACATCCTTCTTAGCCGCAATTTCGCTACATCTGCCAACAAATTTCAATTTCTGGAATTATCACAAGCCATGTTTGACAGACTGTCTTCCGTGGCTCAAATACCGCAACCATTAAGGTAACATTTTTCCATCAGTTTTTTTCTCTTCTATCATATTTATGTTGTCTTCTTCAACAACGTTTGTCATACTATCTATATTTTGTTTCAAAAGAAAAGACTGGATCACACTTGTAATGTGCAAGTAATAAATAAATATTTAAGCAAACGCTTAGTAGTCTCAATTTTTCTTCATTTAAATGGAGAAACAACAGTTTAGAAGTAACAAAATGATCAACTATATGTATAGTCTAGTCTGAATCAAATCTTTGTTTATTCATTTCATGAATTATTCCTCCTCTATTTAATCAAGTATTTTTTGAATTTTATAGAATTTATATAATTTCTAATACCCGTGATATTGCTCTGTTATCCAAGGCCCATTCAGTCAAGCCAAATACGCACTAATTTCCGCTCAGAATTTGCTCATTGTTTGGAACCATGGATTGGAAAGCTTATGCTTACACATCAGCAACCTCCAACCAGTTATCTTAAAGAAACAGGTACGTATGTTTACAATTTGTGCTCCTGGTTAGATGAGGGCATCTCTTTTTTTCTAGGTGGTGTTTCAAAATAAACAAAGTTTCTTTATTTGTTACTTAGGACGTCAGCTGCTCTATCCTGCAGTCTATAAGATAAAGGATTCTTTGAAAATTTGTAAAATTATTTTTTTGAACAAATATCTTTAATTTTCTCTTCCTCACTTATTTTCTCACGTCTTGAAGATGCTTTTTTCTACATGTAGCTCAGCATTTTTCCTTCCACTAATCTACTGGAGAATTTATCAAGATGTGTTTGATTCAGTTCTGTAAGACCTCGCTGTAATTTCCTCAAGTTGTTTTTAATTATTCGTTAATTTTAAGAACTTCAAGGGTAAATTATCCTTAAAGAGTCACCGAAACTATCAAATGATTTTTCACCGAATTTTCTCTCCTAGTGTTTCTCCGTACTGTTGGAATGTATTCAAAACCAACACTGACTCTTTTCAGCTCATATTTATGAAAGCTCCCAGAACCTTCAACAAAATCCGCCCGCATCCCAATCAACACAAAGCATCCAATCAACAACTCCAAACAAAAAACAAAGTTCAGCCCTGAAAGCAAAAGCATTGGAAGGCGAAGGACCTTTTTCTAACCATTGCCGAACTTTTGATACCCAAATAAAAGTGAGTTTTTTTTGTTTTGTTTTTTTTCCTCTTTGTAACTACTCCAGTATTTTAGCGCTTTTCAATGCTGTGAATGTACATGCTGAGTTCAGGTGTTACTTTATTACAATGAATGTAGCCTCAGAAGTACCCTATGATGTCCCAATTATGTCGATCCTTAATCTGTCTCCTAATTGTAGCCCTTCTCATTGTCTGCAGTTCATTTTAGTAGTCATTAATGTTTAAAGAAGAAAAGAAGGCACTTATATTTGTGTAGATCTATCATTCTTGCTACTGCAACTCAGAGGTTTAAACTGACAAAAATCTTCCATAATACAGGGACTACTCAAGTTCTTTTTATTCTAAAATATTTTCACAGGCTCCTTTATTAAGCCAGTACATTCAGGAAAGATATTGTAACCCGTCTTTTTTTCCAGGGTCTTCATCCAACGCATGATCATTAAGCTTTTTCATCTTTTTTTTTTCAGGAATCATCTCTGATCACAAAGAATAATCGTGCTTAAAGTGCCAAACCTTAGAGTGTATCAATTTTTTTTGAATTTCTATTGTGCAATAAGCTGAGAGATGTGAAATGGAGTCAGGATCTTTTTGCAAAGCATTGTAATGCTTTCTCCCCAAAAATTAAATTTTAAAAATTTTGACCCGATGGTCCCCTTTAAATATCCAGTGCAATTTCTTTTTTTGAGGCTTGGTATTTAATTCACAAATACAGTAATATTACGTCCTCAATGAAGTTTCAGAGTTTCAAATGTCTATAATGTGTTGACCTAGACCAATTGCAATTTCAAAAATACCCCTGTAAGTTGAGCCTTGTCAATTGAAACATTTATATTTCCTCTGATAGACAGATAATAATCATCAGCAGAGCTCTTGATCTAATACTCCAGAATTTTCAGTCTGCTTTACTTATATGTTCGAAATTCTAGGAACTAGGATGCCAACTAAGTAATGTTAGAGAACGACTCGGAGATCTCCATCGAGATGTAACAACATTGCGACGTGCTGCCATGCCGCCACTAGTACTTCGACATGAAAACATATCTCGAGACTGCGCTCGGTTGAATGATACATTAGAGCATAATCAAGTTGAGCTGGAAAGACTCCGATCAGTTTTTCAAACTCTTTGGCAAGAACAATTGTGCAGAATCCACGTTGAGCAAGAAATATTCCATTCCCAGGTACTATGTACTTCCATTGCAATGCGTTTATAATTTGTTCAAAAATTGTACCATGTATTTTTTCTCAAAAATTAAGGAAAGAAAAAAAATGAAAAAGCTCTGTTCCTCGTGGAGTTCTCTTTAAACAAAGAAAATCGTGAAAAGTGAAATAATAAGTACAGGAAAAAATCATCCTTAGTGTTTCAACAGAGTTTGATATTTGCGCAACTTTGTCGTTCAACTGCTTGGTTTGCTTTAAAGACTTGCTCTGCCGTGCCAAGGAAGAAGGCCATATGAGCCATTAAGCGGTACCAAATTTTCTTTAACAGAGCTCGATTTTCCAGGAAAATTTGAGAATATTTTTCTTCAGATTTCTCAGAGGATGTAGTTCATGATTTGATCGAAAAAGTGTGAAAATTGTATGGAAAAAAAATCACAACTTTCTCAAAATTTAATATTTTCTGAGACGAAATTTGGCAGCATTTTTACCTGGCACAGCAGTGCAATTAAGCAGCACAATGGTTGCCCACAAAGTAAGTTTCTTCATGTTACATCCTCTAAACCAAAGAATATAAACTTCATTGGTGAAAAGCTACACATCTACCAGGTTTGCTCTCAGCTTTAAACAGATTGAAGATTCCTAATTCGGTTTAGGTTTTGGAAAAAACTAAATTTTACTAAGACTGCGTCTAGATAATCCCTTCTCTGGGGATGCTCATAATTTTTTAGTCACTTCTGCCAACAAAATTAACAGATTTATTTGTTGTTTTTTTTTCAGATGAATGATATCACAAAATTACGTGCTGAGGTGAAACAAATGGCCGTGGTAGCACAACAGCTTGAACCATATGTGAAGCAATTTTCAGTCCAAAATAATTTAAACGATTTAGCCAATTTACAAGCACTAATTGAAAAAATAAACCTCCTCCAAGGGAATCAGTCTGATCAGCGTTCTCAGTATGTAAACTTATTAGTATTTAGCAGTTTCTTTCTTAAACTAATCAGCAAATTTTTGTAAAGTTTATGTAGGTAACCGATGCACCTGAAAATGACCAAAGACGCAAGCTTAAGCTCTCTTTAAAGGAGTATTTTTATTATTTTAATTTAAAGTCAAATTTTTAAATCTTTACTAAATTTCAAGGCAGGCTGGCAAAATCACCAACACTTGGTCCAAAGGACTTGTGGGTCAAACTTCGCATTGTTTGTGGTACCATGTTGACGTCTTAATCTTAATACCTGACTGTCTTACTATCCTCAAAAAAAAACTTATTGAAAATGGTCTCTTTATGTGGCTCATTTCCTAGTCATAAGTTCAAGAGTTAGAGTTTCATGATTTTGTTCTATATTTTTTACCTTCTTATCATTTTTTTTTTCACAGTTGGAGAAGTGATCAAACAGCTGCCATAAAAACGATAGATGATAATTTGAACTTGGGAACCTGCATGTCCATGTCTGCCTCCAATGAAAATTTTCTCCATCTTAAAGGTATTTATTAAGCTTTCAATGTTTTTCTTTAAAAAAAATAAAGTTTCCTCCATAGTACTTGGATTTTATTTGATTTCTCTTATGTTACTTTCTGCATGTGTTTTTATACTTTAAGAAGATGAGACACTCAAAGTGTGTGAGTCAACCATGCCAGTTAGCAACCGAAGGCGGCATGACGATTTGTCAAATTAATTCAATCTTATTTCCCACAACGCATGGTTATGCCACATTCTGTCCCTACCTTGCGCTGAGATCTTATGTGCTTCAAGTGCCGCACCTTCACATTTGTTGCACTCAAAAGATGTTACAATGAAATGAATAGCTCATCCTTTAATTATATTTCCTGAAATAATATCTTTGTAATTTTACCTTTTTAATTATTGGGAGGAAAGTCTCTCTTTTATTTTTTGGGTAGTGAAGCAAAAACTATCTGCTATTCCATCATGGCATTTTCCTAGTTAAAGACATAGATGCACAATTTTTACAACACTGTAAACGCACTGCCTCCCTTCTGATAAATGCAATCCAAATTTCACAGGGAGAGAAACTGTACCTATTCTCTTTATGCTTCTCATCATTTTTCATAAAAACTCACTTTCTACTTTTTTACCCAGATGAAATGAACAAATGTGAAGAACCCGTTCGGGAGAGCCACAGTGGAAGAGATATTCCACTTTTAGACAGTCTTTTAACATATGGTTCCCGAGGTCAAGTCAGAGGTGTTTTAAGTCAACTGATTGATAAGGTATACTCGAATGGTTTTTTTTTTTTTTTTTCCATAAAGCCACAGTAGCTTGTTAAAAACTTTTCAACATTTTTGTTTCAATTTGTTTTATTACATGCTTCGCCAGAAAATGATTTCAGATAACGAAAAAGGAAAACTAGTGGACAAAAGTAATTTGAAGTATTTTGAATAGTTGAACAAATTTTAATTTGATCTTGATTTTTACCCTACTAATGTGCATTTGGTTTTTGGAAACTTTTTTCACAATAATATTTAAGGACTTGGGTGCGAAAATAACACTTCTCATTGTTAGTGTTTCAGAATTTCTTTTTACATTTTCACTTTTAATGGGAGAAAAAATGTTTGCAGGAAGATGGAAATTATATTTATGGAATATATTTTACAATTCAACAGTGTCTTTAGCTTAAATCTACAATAAACGAAATTCTTGGCAAAGACGCTAAAAATACAAGTTTGAATGACACTTTTAAAAAAAATGACATACATAAGCCATTTCTTCTTATTGCTACATCCTCGCAAACCTACATTTTTACTTCGGTTAAAATTTATAACCAATCATTCTAAAATTATGATTTTCCGTTGAATTCTTTTTCGTTTAATGTCCTAGGTCCGAACTAAAGAAGAAAGGAAGGGTGATCGTAAAAAATCTCCAGTGCAAGAAGACACGGTCAATAGAGAAAGGAGTAGATCAGAAGGTCGTGGAGCTGAATGCTTGAAAGACTGTATGTCAGTGCAGAGACCAAAATTATTAACTCCTGGTAAGTAATCTGTTCTGTTTATGTTTTTACTTCTAAATGGTATTGTCCTACGGGCATATCGCATCTTTACACTTTGCCTCAGCTGCACTGTGTCAAGAAATTATATTATCTTAGAGGTTTTGCCGTGTTTAAATTGTTTATCTAATGTTGTCTCTCTCTATATTTTAACTGATTTTTCTGGTAAACTTTTTTTAGGTAAAATGGAGAAAGAGAGCTCTAAGAACTCATCATCCTTTCATCAATTTAGTAGTAAAGTAGGAAGTGCGAGAGACCGATCGCATTCAGATATCTCCATGCTTTGCTCGGAGCTTGTCAAAACTGAAGCATCTGCTCAAAAAAAAGTATGTAGTTCTTTCAAATAATTTTATTTTCTTTTGGGAATCTTAACAATTTTTAAAGAATCTAAATACTCATACACTCAGTTGAGCTTTGGAGAGTGTAATCCTCCAGTTATATTAAATGATTTCGAAGAAATGATTTACATAATAGTCGAACCTTTTTGAGGCATTCGTAGCAAATAAATACCCAGTCGAATAAACTACTTTCTCTGCTTTGGTTTAAGAAAGTAACTCAAGGAAGGGGTGTCAATAATTTATTAAGATCTAATTTTTTCCAGTAACTCTTCACTAAGATTGTCCTAACAGAAAGTCTTTCCAATTTTTATCAATAAGCGCATGTAGGGTTGATCTGTTTAACAGGAGTCTTAATTGTAAAAAATGTCTAGATAGCCTAACCTAACCTAACCTTAATAAAATAAATTTGAATTTTTTTATTTCAATCATTGAAATTTTATAAATCTGCCCAGGGGTGCAGAATCTTTCAAGCTTCACGCGCCAGCCCTCTGGCTCTCCACATTTTTCACATCATTTTTCCACAAAATTTCGCACCAATTTAAAAAATGAGGCCCTTTTTCCTCTTCTTTCCTTTAATCTCCGACTTTTGACCCTTAAAAGGTTTCTCTTTTTCCACATTTGTAAGAGCCCCTCTCCATTTCCACATGCCCGGGCAGGCGCGTAATGGAGCATTTTCTGCGCCCTTAAATCTGCCTATGTCATATGAAAATTATTCATTATTTTATTCACATTTGAATTAATTACTCTTCAATTTTTGTCGATTCAATAGTTGCAAGAAAATGAGCAGAATAATGCCAACACTCGTTCTCAGTGTGACATACCAAAACAGCAGGAGCCTCGTTTAAAATCAAGATCCAAAGAAACCAAAAGACAACCACAAACACATGCAAAAAGTCCAACATCTTTCAAACGTAAGTCCTTTCATCTGTCACCTTTTTTCCCCTGCTGCAATGGAGCCCTTGCATCCTTCAGCAGTTTGGAATTCAAGTACTTTTTTTCCCTAGTAAATTCTTGAAAGATGCACAATAGTGCCATGGTTTTCCCTGAGACAAACTCTCAAGCTTAAAAAATGCTCTCAAAATCAAGGCAGTAATAGAGGGGATCCCACACGTTATGTTGAGAGTCCACCTCTATATCCAGTCAAAATTTCGATGCACAGATAGGGAACAAATATAATAGCAGAATTGTCATGGTTCCAGCCTAGAAATCCCTCAATAAAGTGGTAGAATTGCTAATGTACTCAATCTCTCTCTGTACAAGGAGAGCTTGATGGATGTAGAGTGGACTCAGCACTGCGCAGTAGATCCCTTCTATAAGGATTTCAAATTTGAGAACTTTTTTTGAGTTTGGAAGTTTGTTTCAAAGAAAAGCAGTAGCACCACTGTGTTTCCCATTAAAATTTACTACAGAAAAACAACTTGAATCGCTAATCCTGCAAGCATATAAGTGCTTTATTAAATCTTTTATTTGAATACTTAGGTAGCCAATAAAAGAGCAGTGAAAGCAAATAAACAAGTCTTACCCATGGAGGTAAATCAAAATCTAGAATGTTTCAGGAGCAGAGCAATGCTCATTTTACGTTAGACATTTTATAAGCACTTAAAAAAAAGAATACAAATTATGAATCAAGACTCTCACACTCTAACTGACCTCAAAAACTGAAAGAAAAACTTTCAATGTATGTATTTTTACATGCTGTCCACTTTTTAAAGGAGCATTTTAGTAATGTCTGCCTCATATTATCTTTCCAGCGCCAATGGATGCAGATGATGATGATGATTACGGGCCTATTAGCAGAGACATTATCCTAAGTAAAGCAATGATTCATACACCACCTCGCTCAAAAACTCGAGCTCACTCAGACACTGAGGACTGTGTCTTTTATCCCGAAATCTCAAGTTCTGGGTAAGATTTTTCTTCACTTAAAAAATAGAATTTATTTACCTGGAAAAAAGAAAAACCGGTTATTAATTACTGTCGGTCAGCCTTAAAAAATCCTGAAATTTAAGTGTGGCAGGCAAAGTTAGAATTTGGTTTTATAAAATCCATCCACCAAAGGAGCGTACGACACCCTATTTTTATTGATTTTTACTTATAAATCCACAACATATAAATTCTATGTATGGCTTTTGTATAAGTGTATTTGCATGTAGTTATAGCAATGGATAGAATCTCAAAATTGCATGAATCGATCGGAAAGTAGTTGAGTAAGTAAAGTGAGATTAGATCAGAGAGAAATAGTGTCCTTATGCAATTTTAAGTCACCTCAGCCCATATCCTTTTTCACGAGGAGCTGACATGTATTAAATAATTATGATGGAGTAAATTATCTCACAAAAGAGCCTCCCAAAATTTGGCCCCTTTTTAGGTATTCGATTCGACCATCGGACCAAGGTTTAAATGGAAGCTTATATTAACAGAAAACTCAGGAAAAAATTTCAAGATGAGTATAGGAACCGTTTTCGAGTTGCGGGGGGGCAAAGGGGTCACAATCCGGCCTAATTTTTTGCTGTTTTCTTGTAGAATTGATGTATCGGCGGGGTTCTTATCGTTGTTTACGCATGTCTAGCACATGGATTCCTACGTGTTTTTACATGTAGAATCGATTTTTAACGTTGCCGAATCGACATACTGATCAGTTAAATAGATTTTGAACGATTTATTAAGGAAAATCGATGGTTTTTCAGGATCGAAATTGTTTATTTTCGATTCATGAATGAATAAATGCATCTGAAATGACTGAAGCACACGTAACCCTATGTATTTTGATACGTAGAATTGATTTTTAACGTTGACGAATCGATTTATCTATCGTTCGTATCGAATTTTTGCGATTTTTTACGGAAAATCGATGACTTTTCGAAATTAGAATCAGGTTTGCTCCATCCGAGATCGGAGATATGTACCCAACATGATTGTAGCACATCGACTCTTACGTATTTTTATACGTGGAATCGATCTATAACCTCGATAAGTCGATATATCGATCAATTATATTGAATTTTTTCGATTTTTTGCGGAAAATCGATGGTTTATCGGGATTGAGATAGGTGTCTCTCCATCCATGATCGGAGAAATGTACCCTTTATGATTGGAGCACATCAATTCTTATGTATTTCTACACGTAAAATCAATTTTAAACGTCGACGAGTCGATATATCGATCTGACATACACAACTCTTGCGATTTTTTACGGATATTCGATGGTTCTTTTGGACTGGCATTGGAAACATCTACCAGACATGACTGGAGCACATCGATTCGTTTGTGATTATTCTCGCAAAATTAATTTTTAAGAAGTCGACGAGTCGATACATTGACTGGTCATATTGATTTCTTGTGATATTTATGGAAAATCGATTTTTTGAACAGGAATGAAATTGGTAATTACTAACGGTCCGAGGGTGGAGATATGCACCTGACACGGTCGGAGCACGCCGTTTCCACGTACTTTTACACGTAGAATCATTTTTAAGGTTGACGAGTCGGTTTGGCGATCTGACAAATCAATTTTTTGTGATTTACGGAAATCCGATGGTTTCTTGAAGTTGAAACAATTTTGATCTTAATCAAAATGGGAATGAAGGAATGTACCCGACAGGAAATGATTCTAGGTGTAAAAGTACGTGGAAACGGCGTGCTCCGACTGTGTCAGGTGCATATCTCCACCCTCGGACCGTTAGTAATTACCAATTTCATTCCTGTTCAAAAAATCGATTTTCCATAAATATCACAAGAAATCAATATGACCAGTCAATGTATCGACTCGTCGACTTCTTAAAAATTAATTTTGCGAGAATAATCACAAACGAATCGATGTGCTCCAGTCATGTCTGGTAGATGTTTCCAATGCCAGTCCAAAAGAACCATCGAATATCCGTAAAAAATCGCAAGAGTTGTGTATGTCAGATCGATATATCGACTCGTCGACGTTTAAAATTGATTTTACGTGTAGAAATACATAAGAATTGATGTGCTCCAATCATAAAGGGTACATTTCTCCGATCATGGATGGAGAGACACCTATCTCAATCCCGATAAACCATCGATTTTCCGCAAAAAATCGAAAAAATTCAATATAATTGATCGATATATCGACTTATCGAGGTTATAGATCGATTCCACGTATAAAAATACGTAAGAGTCGATGTGCTACAATCATGTTGGGTACATATCTCCGATCTCGGATGGAGCAAACCTGATTCTAATTTCGAAAAGTCATCGATTTTCCGTAAAAAATCGCAAAAATTCGATACGAACGATAGATAAATCGATTCGTCAACGTTAAAAATCAATTCTACGTATCAAAATACATAGGGTTACGTGTGCTTCAGTCATTTCAGATGCATTTATTCATTCATGAATCGAAAATAAACAATTTCGATCCTGAAAAACCATCGATTTTCCTTAATAAATCGTTCAAAATCTATTTAACTGATCAGTATGTCGATTCGGCAACGTTAAAAATCGATTCTACATGTAAAAACACGTAGGAATCCATGTGCTAGACATGCGTAAACAACGATAAGAACCCCGCCGATACATCAATTCTACAAGAAAACAGCAAAAAATTAGGCCGGATTGTGACCCCTTTGCCCCCCCGCAACTCGAAAACGGTTCCTATATTCATTTTGAAATTTTTTCCCGAGTTTTCTGTTAATATAAGCTTCCATTTAAACCTTGGTCCGATGGTCGAATCGAATACCTAAAAAGGGGCCAAAATCAGCCTCTTTTTTGGGAGGCTCTTTACACATCTGCCGCCGTAAAATTCAGCTATCAGTAAATAGTAGTTAAAAAAGAACAACTTACAAAGCATCTTGTCTATCCTACAGTGTTGTTCCGTATAAAGTAAATTAGAGGAAACAAAAACTCTGGAATATTTAAATTTTCTGATCAACTTTGCAGTCAAGATTGAACCTCTGTTGAAAAGACGAAAATAAAAATCACAAATACATACTTTTTTTTACATTTCCAGAAATTTACAATTCAATTTTCCTTAATTGAATCCATTGTCGATGATAAGCCTTTACGTCAAGAAACACAACTGTCGATTTTTTGACACATCATTTTTAATTAAACTTTCATAACCATTATTACACTTTTAAACTTTTTTCCAGAAGCAGATCATCCATGGATCTAGCAGATGGGAGGAAGACTTTTTTTGTTGTCATCAATGCAAAAAATAAATCATCAGGACTAATGCGAAAACAGCGTTCATGGGATACTTTTCCACCAAAAAAACGGTGCCATGAAATTTCAATGGCTAGTAAATTTTGTCGTGACCCGGATTCTTTCCAAGGTGGATTTAACTTAAACAGCATTCGATCCGAGGGTTTGAAAAAAGCTGACAGTTTTGAAGGCCATGAGGAAGCAGTACGTACACTTGTTGCAGCTGTTCAAGAGACAAGAACTCTTAGGAAGCCAAAACCGCCATCATCTAACACTGCCTGAATTTATTTTTAAACCACAACGACTCATTTCTGATTCTTATGGCTATCCTATTTTGTCAACTTGCTCATAGGATCTGCTCTCTTCTTTAGATTAATCCTCTGTAAAGTAATGACTAAGGAATTATTTATATGTCGGATTGCTGTGAAAAAAAGAAAAGAAAAGAAAAGAGTATTTTATGATAGTGTCTATAAATACATAAAGTTTAGAATTCAGATTAAAAGGAAGTTCATCTTAAGCTGTAAATTTTTCCGCCATAACAACAGCACAAATGTGTAGGGAAGATGATTGTGTGCCGTAACAAGCTCTTTCTTTAAAAAAAAATAGTCAAAAGATACCTAGCTAAATTCTATGTAGCCAAATGCATATCTTCATAGCAATGTTTAAAAATGTGTTTCCTTTAAAAAAAAATGGAACATGAATGGACACTCACCATGCTGCAATCCGAGGTATGCATTTTTCGACTTAAGCCATTGGCATGCTCTATGCTTGTAAGAAAACCATTCCAATGATACGGACAGAGCTTACAGAAACATGGACGATATCAATCACTTTCTGTCTTCCATTTGAATTAATGTGAATTAATTTAAATTAATTTTGTGGTACACACAAGTTCTCAGAAATGAGCCGTTTCTACTAATTAGATATCCATTATATACATTAATATGTTTGATATATGGTATAAGTAAGTAGAATAATGTAACCAGACACGTGATCCTTTGGTCTCAGAGCTCATTTAATCCTGCCATTTACCAGTTAGCTATTTCATCATGTTGTTAGCTAGTTACCTTACTTGAGATCTTACGTGAGAAAATAAGATAAAACTTTTCTTCAACTTGGAATGTTGTGACTGTTGGAAAAAACTATCTCAGTAAAATAAAATTTGATTTATTAAAATGATTGCTGATTGAAATAAGCATGCGGTTTAAACCGCTAATCTTGACCCAACCATTTTCATCCAGGAAAAGGTCACCAGGACTTCAGAAAAATCCATTTTATTTTCCCATGTAAAATACACTCATTTACCTCTCTCATGTTCCTTATTTTGTTACTTTTTATCGCAAGCTTTTAAGTTTCGTTACACAATACAAATTTTTCCTTTACGTTAACTTTATCTTGTATTTAATCAACGAAACACAAAAATCATTTATATGTAGGGATTTGATAGTATTTTTGTTTCACAAAAAAATGAGCTTAGTTTCTAATGCATTTTAAAGATTAATACTCAATACATAATACACATGTTAACCCACTAAATTCTTACTTCTCAGTTAGAAGTGATTTCTCAATTTGTGTGCACACCCTTGCACTTTGACTTTTTAGTAAAATCACTGCTATTCATCTACCGTTTGACTGTATTATTTTTACTTTCTCGTTTAATATGAGTTGAAAGATTTAATAGTTCACATCTACTTATCACAAATTTAAACATCTATATCTTGTTATGGTCTAATTCAGCCCTGTTTTACTGACAAAACAATCATTCAAAAACATGTATTTTCTTTTACAAAGCTTCAAGCAAGGGCTCAGAGCTTAAAGTAAAATTGAATAGCTCTCGCTGAAATATTCATCTGTATTACGTATGCTCAACTCATAAAAATATATTCCTGCCCGTTTAAAAGTGCTCTTAGCCAGAAAATATCAAAAATTTGGTGCTAGTCAATTTTTTTCCATTCTTTAAGGAAGAAATGATAATATTTTATGTAACTAATTAATGTTCTGACTTAGTATTACCCACATTTCAACTCTTCTATGTTACTATCATCGGACTCGCATAGAATTGCATGACTGGATCGTAACATTTGTTCTCAAATTCATGTATCCCTCTGTGAGGAACATAAGTTCTCTGAGTCAGAGTTTGATTGATATCCTATTTAAACTTTCGAATCATTTTCCTATTCTACAGATGGATTTACAGCACTGATGAGAATGTTATACATAATAGTCAAACAATCAATTAATAATATATAATTGAATTTATGAATATTTTTTCAAAAGTCTTTGAAATGCATAATCCTTTAGAAGTATGAGAGAATCTCACTAATCGTTTTTGTTTTCTTGAAAAAATTCGCATGTGAACAAATTCAACACCACCCGTAAATTTTTTTGAGATCGCTCTTTTCTATAATTCTTTTGCTTCAGTCAATTATGATTATGAAAGAAAAACACACTATCTCAAGATCCAAGATAAAGATCTGGGAGTTTAAATTATTCATTCATTATCAAGTGTTTCGGCTTGGTTCAGAGAAGGTTCCTCTTAGATTACCTATCATCTTTTTGATTCAGATTTGTTCAAGAATCAAGAATCTTGGACCTTCGATCAGACTGTCTTTTGTGCTTCCAAGTAATATTGTTTAAATCCTGTTGGTTTCAGAATTGATAGGAAGGCTTTGGTTGATATAGTAGAGATTTTTATTCGTTGATTATTATTTTATGTCCCAACTGCCTATAGTCCATCATTATTCATTGTTAATGTTCCTGCAGCCTGATTGTTGAAAATGTTTGTTTGTCGGGACGACATAGATGAAATAGGTTAAAAGGTAAAGCGTGATTGGTCGGCTATGTCTTATCCCTGCTTTGTCGTGTCTATGTCGGGTTGACCTCACGACAAGCTAACGGGACCTTTTAAGTCTCCGACAGTATGTCATCCATTCCACCTGACAAAGGCAGGACAAAGCAGCGATAAGGCATAGTCCAATCACACTCACATGACTGACCAATCACACTCCGCCTTTTAACCTATGTCATATTTGTCGTCCCGACAAACAAAAAATATCAACAATCAGGCTGCTTTACTCTGCTGTAACTCTTTGTCAAAGTCCATAACTTGAATTGTTCAATTTTTCACGTTGTAATTGTAATTTATTTGTTATTTGTTTTAAATGCTGATGGATTTTGGTTAAAGACTGCACTATTGCAATCTCTTCCAAATCAGGGACCTGTGAGAGAAGAGTCCGTGCCAAATAAAGTTACAGAATGCAGTGCGAAGAATGCAACGGAAGATCAGCTGTCTTCAGTTGAGCATTGAAAGTGAATGCAAGACTCAAGATGGCAGATTATCTTTTGCATTCTAAAAGTAAGTGAACTTATTTGGTGTGGACTCTAGCAAACCAATGGATTCATTACTCAAGGCAAAATCCAATAAAAGAGGAATCAACAGAAATTAATTCAGGTTTTGTTCAAAATATTTTCTTTTCACTTTTTTTTCATTTATTTATCAATTTTATTTTTCATGCAGATTGGTCCCAACGTAGCTTATGTAATTGAAAATACAACCCCACCTCCCTCCTTTTCCAAAAATGGTGCCAGGGTTTTCTTCTTTTACTCTACAAGCTTTTTTTCATCCTTATCTTTTCTCGTCTTTTTTATTTATTCTGGATGTATGACTAATTCAGTATTTCATTCATATTAATCTATCTCTCTCTATCTGTCGCCTCAGTTCTTTATTTCTCACCTCAGTATTCGTAATTGATGGGATAACATTGGAAAGAGTATGAAACAAAAATATTTTCTTCACTGGAAGCTGGTTTTTATGAGTTTCACTATTTCAACATGACCACGTCAGTTCTTCAATTAATTATATTCGCGCAAAGGCTATAATTTGTAAAAACGTTTTATGTGCCCAAGAACAACTGTTGAATTAAGATTTTAAACCTGTAGGTACCTTGCCTACAAATTTGCCTTTTATCAGTAAAGTTTTCCTTTTTATTATAATCAACGACTGGTCTATTAGCTCAGCACATCTCTTTAAAGTAAAACATTGATACCATCACCGAATTAAAAGAATAGGTACTTAGACTGATAAATCAGACTTCCCACTCACACTGTTAAATCCATATGAAATTAAGTACCAATTGTTGTATTATTTAAGTTGCATAGTTCTATTGTATTGCTGTTATGTGTTTCATATTTTAAACTGTCATTACCTAGTTATTTCAGAGCCCTTAAGAAATGTGACAGAGTGCGGAAAAACAAGGTGAGGTGATAACGCATAATGAGACAACTGCACCTCAGTTTAGATATTTCAATCCTTCATCATGTGCCACTACGAACACTTGAATATTTCAAACATTGGTCCTTTGGGTAGCAAATTAAAATTCAAGAATGAAAACGAGAAATTTGAAAAAAAACTGCTGACCAAGTTTGCTAGGAAATGCTTCAACTCTACAAAAAAAATCAGTATAAATACTCATAACCTTAGAGTCTAACATAATGTCCTTGAGAGAAGTAGAAAATGCTTAGAATTGATATTATGGACCCCCAAACCAGTTTTTTTGCTGTACTGTGCATTTGAATTCCAACCTCAAGGCACTTTTTACATTTTGCCTGACTCCGTCACAATTATTTTTAAGGGCCACATGGTTACCTACATTCAAAGCACTAAAGGTGCTGATATGATTATTTATTTGTTTGTCCCCCACCATTCTTGAAGGATTTTGCTTTGTCAGCTTACTATTGCGAGGAACTAGGTATTTATCCGATTTGTTATGAAATACCTATTAAAATTCTTTGATACTCAGTATGTGTATGCAAATAAATTAGGTATAACTGGAAGATAAATACCTTTGTCAGCTCATTTCCTCATTTATTTCCTATCCTTATACTTATTTTAATGCTTTTCCCAGTTAGCAAGATAGCTCCATTGCCAATTCTAACAGTGGAATCGGAGCCACTCGATTATGAGGCTACCAACTGTTTCAAACAATACAATTATACATATGTATGGAATGATTTTCGTAAACCATAGGAGGGGATCCAAATTTCGGAAAAAACGGAGGAGGGACATGGAATGATTTTCGTAAACCACTTGTTTTTAAATAATTAGGCAAAACTTTTTTTACAGGGAAACGGGGAGGGGGGGGAGTGAAGGATCGGGGAGAAAAGAAAACGGGGGGGGGGAGG